ATTTGGCTAAGAATCAGATATATCATGCTAGGACGAAGCATATTGATGTGAGGTTCCACAAGATTAGGGAATGGATTGCATCTGGTGATATTCAGTTGGAGAAAGTTCATATTGAAGAGAATGCTGCTGATATGTTGACTAAGACTGTTACGTCTGACAAATTCAAGCATTGCTTGGATTTGTTGAATGTTTGTGCATGCTAAAGTTGCATGGTACCCCCGGCCTGCTTGGTGTGTCTCGCAGAGGTGCTCGCTATTGTGTTCTCTTAAGGAGGTGATATATTCGCCAAGGTAGAGATTTGTTGGTATGGCTCATATATTGACAAAGGAAGGGGGCAGGCTGATGTCTGCGAGCGTAACGGAGCGAACGTAGCGAGGGAAGCGGAGCGACCGAGCGAAGTGAGCGTAGGGTTATAGTATAAATACATGGTGTATTTATGTATTTGAGACTATTGAGAATAATAAAGATCCCTCAACCGCCGTGGACGTAAGCATATTGCCGAACCACGTAAATCTTGTGTTGTTTACTTTTCTCGTTTTTTTAATTCGTATGCCATATTGTCATCTTTACTCAACAAATCTGAATGAAGGGTATCCTATCTGGTCCATATGTATGAGGGTGCGGAGGCGAAGAGGAGTATCGACAGGATAAAGAATGCGCCTCTGGGGGCCGGAGGACCTGATCCCAGCGCGAAAGATGTATGAGATCCGAAAGCGAATTGACCAAAGTGTAGCTTTGATACGCATGAGAGGATGCTGAATTTGCCACGTGCCCTGATGGTCAGATGACAAGAGGGTGATGACAACAGCAGCGTCCAACTCAATCTAAATGTGGAAGAATATCGAGGCGGCAATCTGAAGACCGATCTGAAGTGCCTGAACCTCCGCGTGATAGCTTGAGGAGTCCTAGAGAGGAGTATGGAAAACGGTAATAAGGGCGCCGCTCCAATTCCTAGTTAGGTGGATTTTTTCCGACTTCTTCTCAAAGTTTTCCTCAACAAACTTTTAAGGAGGAATATATGCATTTTTAATCTTCGACAAATTTGTATTAGGCTTATTTCTCGTGATAATAATTTTTTTAAAAGAACAAAAATGACACAATCATTATTTTGTAAAGAGGAAAGAAGCAACATGGATTCAAACTTATATAAAGTCCACAACTAGGCATGCCAAAGTTGAACGTAGGACAAGTTTTGAGGAAAGAAACAAATACAAAATATTATTTTAAAATTAGTAAAATCATCATTATTAGTAGTAATGACAAATCTAAAAGTTAGAAGAAAGCTTGAAAAAAGGCGACTTATTAATTTTCAAACAAATACTATAGCCGTGTCAAACAAAACTAACTAAAACCAATTGCTACAAATTACATACATATATATAGTGCCACAACATAGTCTTATATATAAAGCAGATACATATAACTCAAATAATAGTTGGAAGAAGGAAAATTTAGGTACAATTTAGAAGTAAGATGGAAATATTGTACAATGGCATAGCAGTACTGTTTTGTGCTGTTATTTACATATCGTTTAATGCATGGAAGTTTTTCGACTGGGTATGGGTGAAGCCAAGAAAGTTGGAAAAATGGGCGAGAGAACAAGGTTTTAACGGAAACTCGTACAGGTTTCTGGTTGGCGATTACAAAGAAATGGCGCTGATGGCCAAAGAGACGCAGTCGAAGCACATACTCGTTTCTGATGATATTGTGCCACGAGTCATGCCTTTCGTCTCCCAATCCGTAAAACGCCATGGTATGCAAACACACATCACATATCACATGCCACTTTATTCTCCATCGTTCAAGTAAATATAAATAAGTATGTTGGAATATCACTTGTGAGTTGTTCCAAGTCTAGTTTATAAGCCTAATGGGTTACTCATCCATCACCATTTGGTTTTGTGATGGAATTTCACTAAGGTGCAACTAGGCTCGACTGCACCCCTGATGTCCCGATTATCAAAATTTGACAAAGTATGTAATTTGTTAATCGCTTGGATATGTGTGTTTTGTCCGATCATTATATTATAGTTATTAACTAATTATAATATTTTCCAATTAATTTTGGAATGAAACATTAGAATTTGACAAAGTATGTAATTTGTTAATGCTTGGATATGTGTGTTGCTGATTATTATAATTATTATAACAAATAATAATATCCTCCTCCGACCACCAATTGGTTTTGGGATGAAGCCTTATTAAGGTGCAAACTCACCCTCTTATGGTGCGCTTCACTGTGATGCCCTCGATTATCAGAATTTTACATAGTATGTAATTTGTTAATCGCTTGGATATGTGTGGTGTCTGATTATTATAATTATTATTAAAAAAATAGTATCATACTGCATGAAAAAATATTAATTATTATTTATTTCCATCACCCCTCTTCCAAATATTAGAAAAATTTTTGTGGTTGCA